AGAAAGGAGGGAGAGAGAGGAGAGAAGGGGAGGGAGGGGGAGGGGGAGTGAGAGAGAGTGAGAGAGTGAGAGAGAGAGAGAGAGAGAGAGAGAGAGAGAGAGAGAGAGGGGAAGACCGTGAGAGGCACAGAAGAGTAAGGACGGGGAAGGGCACAGCCTGGCTCCAGGGGCTTGGGAGCCAGGCCACATGCCTTTGACTGAGCTGGGAACACTGGTGCTGAAGGCTCTCCCTGACTGCTGCGTCCCTTTACAGCTCAATCCTTAAGCACACCTTAAGCACACCTTAAGCACTCAGTGAGCACCAGGCACTGAGCTAGACACCAGAGAGAGGAATGCAAGGACAAGACAGTCCCTGCCTGCCCTCAAGGATCTTAGAGTCTATGTGGGACACTGCTTATAAGTTAATACAGACAGCTACAACACAAACAGACTGTGCCAGGGGGTGAGAGGGAATGCTTTAAACAAGAGAACCAAGAAAGGCCTCTTGGAGGAAATGGCCCTTAGGAAGGGAGTAAAGAGGTGGAACATTCCAGGCACGAGGCACAGCCTGAGCAAAGGCCTAGTGGTGGGAGAGGACATTCTGACTGGACTGTGGACTGTGTTGGGGGAGAAATATATGATGGGCCTGAGAGGGTAGGTTCAAGGGGATTCAAGGGTGAAGGCCTGTAAATGCCCAACATAGGAATCTGTATTTTATCTGAAAGGTAATGGGGAGCCACAGAAGTTTCTCGAGCAGGGTAGTAACAAGGTCATGGCTGTATTTTAGGAAGGTCATTTTGGCTGCTGAATGAGGGAACAAACCGGAGACAAGGAGAGCCACCAGCAGGCAGCCTGGACTGGACGGGGGAGTGGAGCTGTCATCTTCTCTGCTTCCCAGCCCCAAGGTCCACTTCAATTCCTAACTCTCCCTCAATGCCCAGATCCAACCATTTGCCCAATCTTGTCATTTCACCTCCACAGCATCTCACATTTTAGTGCTGGAATTGAAGTCAGGAAGACCTGGGTTCAAATCCCCCTTCAGACACTTGCTAGCTGTATGACTTTGGCCAAGTCACTTCTGTCTGCGCCTCAGTTTCCTTGCCTGTACCATGTAGGGGTCAGCTATGGCTATAATCCCGTGATCCCTTCTCTTCAGCCAGTCGGTGATATGGGACGTGCTCAGGAGAGAGGTTAGGGCAGCATCTATCGGTGCTGATGCAGTAGATCTCCCAAGGAGAGAGGGGTGAAGGAGAAGAGAAGGTGACATGGGACACAGAGCCCGTAATGACACCTACAGTCAGTAAACGTGACCTGGGGAAGGTCTTCTGTCTTCTGAGGCCCAAGGCTGGAAGTGACCAGACTAAAATCCAACCACCAAGTAGAGGCAAGGCTGGGCTTCACACACACGCACGCACACACACACGCATGCAGATACACACACACACACACACACACACACACACACAGAGTCCTTCCCTGCCTGACCCCAGGTTGGCCAAGACTTCCCTCCCTAACTACCCAGCGCTGATTCTGAATGCAGGCTCCCAATGCCTACATCACTGAGTATCTTTCTCTTTCTTTTTCTTTTTCAATTTTTAAAAATTTATTTTGATTTATCAACAATCACTTCAATAAGCTTTTGAGTTTTAAAATTTTCTCCCCCTCCCTCCTCACCTTCCTCCTCAAGACGGCACGCAATCTGATATAGGCTACACGTATACATTCCTATTAAACATCACACCTATCAGAATGGCCAACATGACAAAACAGGAAAATGATAAATGTTGGAGAAGATGTGGGAAAATTGGAACACTAATGCATTGTTGGTGGAGTTGTGAAATGATCCAACCATTCTGGAGAGCAATTTGGAACTATGCCCAAAGGGCTATAAAAATATGCATACCCTTTGACCCAGCAATAGCACTTCCAGGGCAATATCCCAAAGAGATCATACAAATGGAAAAGGACCCACATGGACAAAAATATTCATAGCAGCTCTTTTTGTGGTGGCAAAGAATTAGAAATCGAGGGAATGCCCATCAGTTGGGGAATGGCTGAACAAGTTGTGGCATATGAATGTAATGGAATACTATTGTGCTATAAGAAATGATGAATAGGCTGACTTCAGAAAAGCCTGGAAAGACTTGTATGGACTGATGCTGAGTGAAGTGAGCAGAACCAAGAGAACACTGTACACAATAACAGCCACGTTGTGTGGTGACTAATATTGTTAGACTTAGTTCTTCTCAGCAATACAAGGATCTAAGACCTCTCCAAAGGCCTCATGATGGGAAATGCTATCCACATCCAAAGAAAGAACTATGGAGTTTGAATGCAGATCGAAGCATACTATTTGCTATTTTTTTTCTTCTGTTGTTTTGTTTCCTCTTTCTGGTGGTTCCTCCTATTGGTTCTAATTCTTACTTACAACATCACTAAAGTGAAAATATGTTCAATAAGAATGTATATCTAGAGCCTATATCAGATTTTTTTCTTCTTTTAGACAAAAGAAAAAAACAAAAACACCCCCCCCCATACACACACATGGTAACAAGTAATTATTATCCAGTTGTAAAGTTCGAGTTTTGTCTTGGGAGTGGCTCCTAGGGTGCAAGGGAGACAGAGGGGACACGTTTGCTGAGCCTGTCTTGAGTGCTGTGTGACACCGGAGACCCTAGTTCTTTTGGCTTTAATAAATACTGTTTGACCCTTAACTCCCAATCAGGATGGACCCTGGGATTCCACCTGAGGGCGGGCAAGGTCTTGATCCCCTGAGCCAGCAGCTGGTCCAAGGCAGGTGCTTGCTTGCTACCTGCTCTGAACACAGAGCCGGGCACTCCCAGGGGGTCGGGTCAGCACACGGGGCTCCGGGTGTCTCCTGGGCCCTCCCCCCCTGAGGCCATCGGCCATCAGTTGCCAGCTACTGAGAGCAGGATGATGACCCCAGAGGGCAGTTCTCATGGAGCTGTAGCATTCTGCAGCTCTGGCTCCACCCACTCCTGCCCTGGCTGGCCAGAGTTTCCATGGCAACCCTGGGTGGACGGATGGGGACAGTGGAGGGGGTGGGGCCAGGACCAAGGACTGCCAGCCTGTCAGGCTGAGCGGAGCCAAGCAAAGGAGGAGGCCTGGGCAGGTGGGTGGGTGGGAGGGAAGGAGCCAGAGGCACAAACAGAAAGACAAGGGAGGAGGGGGAGGGGCCCCCCAACAGCTCCAAGTCCAGGAAGACCCTGTTACCAGGAGGCTGAAGCAGAGGAGCAGGGTCAGCTGGCTGAAGGCCACGGGGGAGCTGGATGGACAAGCTGGGAACAGCCACTAGCATTCCGTGGCGTTTCAAGGCTTCAAAGCACTTTATGAACCTTATTTCATTGGCCCCTCATGGGAACTCTAGGAGATGGGTGTCATTGTTAGCCACATTTCATAGATGGGGAAACTGAAGCATAGAAAGAATTTAAATGAGCTGCCCAGCTACCAAATGTCTGAGGCTGGATTTGAACTTGGCTCTTCTTGCACTAGGTCCAGAGAAGAGAAGTGACGTTTCCACAGCTACACAAGTGCAGAGGCCCACTTGAGCACACGGCACCCTGCCTCACCTAAGGCAGCCTGCTTCCCAATCAGGGCCGCCTGGCTGGGCCCCACAGGCCAAGCTGTGCTGGCAGCTCCCCAGGGAGGAGAGCTGCCCCTGGGCAGACTGGTTTGTCCCTCCGTGGTGATCTGTCACCTCGCAGCTCTGGGGCCCTGCATCAGGCCTGGTGCTTTCTTCCCTCCGAGCCTTTGCTCAGGCCTTTCCCTTTGTCTGGAACACCCTCCCTCTAATTCCCTCCCTGCTGAATTCCTATACATCCTTCAGACTCGGCAAGTTCGACCTCCTTCAGGAAGCGGCCTCCCTCCCCGGGAGATACTGCAGGTGTCACCCCAGGGTGGCCTCCCTGCAGCAGCCTCAGGTCGAGGCTGTTCCCGGGTGGGGCTTGGTCCAGTAGGACGCCCAACCACAACTTAGCACAGAAGGGGAGGCGAGGACCCGACCAACGCCAGCCAGGGCCTTGGGGGTGGCAGAACAGATGACCTGGCTGGGCACTGCAGAAGCAGCCCCACCAGAGCCTCCAGGGGCTCTCCACTGCTTACAATTTATCCTGGCATTCAAGGCCTTCTACAGTCTGGGGCCGACTTGAGGGAGGGAAGGGACTGCTCAGTCAGCAAACATGGATGGCTCCTGGGCCCCAGGTCTTGGTAACTCAATGGCTGAATCACAGGCTAAGAGTCAGAAGGAGCCTCCGAGGCTGTCCAGACTTGCCCCAATCCTTTCATGAGGCCAAGGGACCTGTCCAAGGGCCCACAGACAACAAGGCTTGGAGGCGGGATTTGACTTGTCCTGTTCCGCTTCTGAAGATGTCTACACTGGCGGCCTCCCCTTCCACAGCTCACAAGACCCACTCTGGGAAGGTCCCTTACCCCTCTGTGGCTAGGCCCCCATCCCGCAGTACCCCTGCCAACCTCCCACCCCACAGGCCCCAGCCTGGGACCAAACACAGGCAAACACAGGGACGAGGTGGAACCTGCCCAGAGCCTGGGGGCCCTTTCCTTACATCTCCCTCCTCCTGGCCAACCGCACCGTCCTCCCTCATCATCACAGAGAGACCATGAGGGGATACTGGACCTCACCGACCGTCGCATGGAGACCATAAGGAGATAGCCAGCCCCACTGACCTTTACCCTGGAAGCACGAGAGGATGTCCGGCCTCACTGACCGTCACGCAGTGACCACAGAGAGACTTCTGGCTGACCACAACACCAAGACCGTGAGCGGAGACCCAAACTCACCGGCCATCCCACCGTCAGGGACAACTCGGCCGCACCAAATATTCCACAGATATCACTCCAAATGACTTCCTGCCTCAGTGACCACCACGCAGGGTCTGAGGTCAGAGGTCACACAAGCCAGAGGGCCGTGAGGCCTCCCCAGCCTCTCCGCTCCACTTGCTGACAGCTGCAGCGACCCCCGAGCCCGCACGCGCCACACGTACCGTCCAGCACGGTGAGCTTGGCACTGATGTTGATCTCGCCTACGCTGTTCGTGGCCGTGCACTCGTAAATGGCCTCATCCCGGTGCACCCGCAGTGGCTGGATCCGGAGCACAGAGCCAGCCCCGTCGTCAAACTCGATCACCTGCAGGAGAGCAGCACAGGACGAGGCCGTCGGCGAGGGTCGCCATAGGCCTGGGGAGCTCCATGGGTGCCCCCTTCCTAGCTGCCTCGGCATGGAGGCAGTGGCAGTGAGGATCACTGCCAGAGGCGGGAGGGGGCGGGAAAAGCTGCTAGTGTCTGGAGGATGGGGATGACCCTGCAGGCCCCCTGCTCCCCCACCCTCTGGCCGATACCCCCAACATCTTCTTCAAACTCATCCCAAAGCCCAGGCCCTGCCCGTTGGCTGGGATCCATACCCCCTACCCAGAAAGCCCACGTCTAAGCCACCAGGAGATGCAGGTCCTGCTGGGCTCTCAGCTCCAAGAGCTAAGAGAAGGATCTTGCCGGCTGCCCCCCTCTTTCGTCACCCTTGTCTTCTCTAACTCCTCTCACCTACACGCCTGGATTAAGCCTGGCTTTAGGACACTCAGGCCTGCCTTCCCCCACCCCACAGAACCTCCTCCCAGCCTCCCCTTTTCTCCCCTAACCAGTCCTTTCCCCCCCCCCCCCCCCGAGGGTGCCCTTCCCTCATCTCCCCAGGCCCGTCCTCACCCCTCCTTTGGGACCCACAGACTGGCCTCCGAGCCCAGGGAACTGCCCTGCCCTCATCGTCTCAGGTTTGTCCCCATCCTTCCTCTGGGTCCCACAGCCTCACCTCCCAACTCAGAGGGCTACTGCCCTTCTCTTGTCCCCCCAGGCCTGTCCCCATCCCTCCCCTGGGTCCCAAGGTCTAGCCTCCCAGCTTAGGCTTCATCCTACCCCCCTATTCCATATTCCCCTCAGGCAGCCTCACCTCAAACCGCTGGGAGCTGACTTTCTTGCCCTTCTTCATCCAGGTGATTCGGGGCTTGGGCTCGCCCGTGGCCTGGCACACAAAGGAGGCCACACCCCCAGACAGGCCTGTCTGGTCCTCAGGAGCCTTCACAAAAGTGGGCTTACCTAGAGCAAAGGGGGCAGAGGGGATGGTCACCACTGACCACATGCCTGCCTGGCCTCAGGCACCTCCGTTTCCTGGAGATGTGGGTTCATAATTGGCTGAGCACCTTCTCTGTGCTCGGTACAAAAGTGAAATGGCCCCTGCCCTCACAGAGCTTACATTCTCTAGGGGAGGCAACAAGTGCGTGTAAAAGTTGATAAAACAACCAACTCAAGGTGATGAGAAGGGAGCGGCCCTAGTAGCAATGCAAACAAGGCTGCTGCTTCAGCTGAGCCATGAAGGAAGGGAGGGCATCCAGGGGTGAGTGACTGCCTGGGCAAAGACAGGGAGGCAGGAGATGGGGTATCATCTATGTGTTTGCAGAGTTTCATAACGGCCAGTTTGGCTGGGGGAGCAAGCCTGGACCAGATACCTCTGACCTTGGTGGTAAGACAGGGGCTTGGAAAGGACCTACGCTGCCCTCGTGTCTGGGCCACACCCACTGTAATGTGCCTGATTTAGGGACCCTGGGCCCTGGTGCTGACTCTCAGAGCTCTGGGTCTGGGCCTCTCCTTGGGTATTCCTGTCCTGAGAGCTCCCTGAAGGCAGCCTTGACTCCGGGCGCGACCTTAGGGAAGGGGGCCTTTTGGCCAGAACCCACCCCCTCAGCAAGTCCCTGGGCCTGGGGCAAAGGGAAGGGGAGGCGGGTGCCGGGTGCCAGGGAAGGAGATGGAGCCCAATGACAGAGCTTTAATCAGCACCGTCCCCCTAGCTCCAGGCCTGGCCTCCCTCCCTGGTGCGTTCCCCAGGAGCAGGTTCCTTCCCCTCCTCATAGGCACCTGTGTGCCCTTCAGGAGGGGGCAGGGCTGGGCAGGCAGGAGGGCCTAGAGGGCCTGCTGGAGATGCCCCACCTCCACTCCAACTCCCAGCCAGCCTCAGCCTGCAAACCGGTCAGACCAGCAGCCAGGCCCCACCCCCACAGAGTAGAGTGCAGGGGGGGAGGGGGAAGGAACAGTCAGCTCTTCCCATGGGCATTTAGGGGCTGGGTTCTGGGGTCCAGCCCTTGGAGCAGAGCCAGGAGCAATGAACCTAGGGCCTGCCCCTCCCAACTCTGGGCTGCCTCAGTTTCCTCCAGCTCCCTCCAGTATCTCAAGGCCTTGAGCCCCTATGCTCAGCACCTCCTCCCTTCTAGACCAACGCCCAGAGCCCAGGCCAAAGTCTAGCAGCCTCCCCAGCCCTGCCCAGCCAACCACAGGTCAGCCACCGTCAGAACCTGAGCTGCCAAGGCGCGGCCCTGCCCTCGTCACCTAGGCCCAGCCAGGTGTCACCCTGGACTCCCCTCTCTCATTTCCCCCTCCCTCCCAAGGATTGTGGATTTCCCCTCTGCAGCACAGTATGTCTAGAATTCACCCCTCCTCTCACACCTGGACTCCCGCAGGGACTGCTCCAGCCCAGCCGGGAGCTTCCTCAGGACTGGGCCCCCAGCTACCCATCATCTCATTTCACGTCGCTCAGCTAAAGCAGCCTTCTCTCCCCCAACCAAACCTGACCTTCTCTCTCTCACCTTTGCATAGACTCTCCCTCTTCCCAGGGGCCTCCTTCCAAGCCCAGCTGATGGGCTTCTTCCTCCCTGCACACAAGCACATGCCTAACTCGGACGGGTAGGAAGCGAGAGGGGACTTACTGTCTGCCAGGGTGCTCACTGCGAATCCAAGGAACACAAGAGCGGGCAGCAGTGGGACCATCACCCACCGAGGGGCAGCCTCCAGGGCCATGACCAGGACGAGCAGCAGACCTACAATGGAGAGAGGCACAGCCTGTGAGATGGGGGCTCCTGGGAAGGTCCAGGGAGCTGACAGCCCTGCTCACACCACATCCAGAGGGCTGAACTGGCGCTCTGGGCACCGAGATGGGGAAGGGCCCAGAGCCTGTGACACAGGAAGGAACCGGAGGAGAGAAGGATACCCAAAGGGCTGGGTCATGGGGAGGGAAGACTCAGCCTGGCCCAAGGGCAGAGCCAGGAGCACCAAGAGGCCAAATGGGGCCAGAGGTCACCGAGAAAGTCACCCACTGAGAGCTGTCCCCAGTGGGGGTTATTCTGGGCACATGTGGCAGGAGTGAGCTACTTGTAAGGAGAAGTATTCTAGCAGGGGCAGAGGCCACCTTGAGAGGCTTGTCAAAGGGGCCCTCAGAGGCCTGTCCTCCCTCACTCCGAGAATTTCCTGCCCTATTGATGCAGTCCAGACTGGGAGGACATAGGGTGCAAAAGTCCAGGCCCACTCAGAGGGGGCTCTAAGCCCCTCCCCCAGACCCTCACCCTCCTGCCCACAGCACCCCATGAGGAGAGGAGCCTGACTACCACTGGGGTAACCTCTCTGCAGAGGGTGCTCCAAGTAGCTTGAAGCCCGGGCTTAGGGCCAGGGGGAGACCAGCCCGGGCTCCCCAGGACTTGTTCCCAACAAGTTGGTGGCAGAGAGCCCCAGCCCAGACACCGTCATCCCACCCAATTCCCATGACGGCACCCTCCACCCCCAGTGAAACCACCTGAGGCCACGTCTGCCAGGCTGAGGCAGCCAGCCCACGTCCTGGGGCCCGTCTATCCTGAGATAGGACACTTTTGGTCCCCCTCCTCCACACAAGCCCCTCTTTAGTACCCCTCTCCTACACATTGCGTTTGGCAATCCTGGCAGATTCTCTGTGCCTCAGTAGCCTCATCTGTAAAACAGGGCTGATAACAGCACCTCCCTCACAGGTCCTTGTGGGGACCAAATGAGATAATGAAAGCAAAGCATCCTGCAGCTCTTAAAAGTGCCCTCAAGACATCAGCCATTCTAGCCATCCTGGCTCCTCCTGCTAGCCCTGAATCAGCCCTGATCAAAGGGGGAGGGGACTCGTGCTGACAGCTGCCCTGCCTTCTGTACCAAGGGAACTCAGGCCAGAGCCCAGTCAAATTGGCCCTGCTGTTACCCAGACATGCCATCAAGTCATTTCCAGCGTCCATGTCTTTGCACAGGCTGTACTCCACGCCTGGAATGCGCCCCCTCCCCACCTTTGCATCTTATGGCCTAGCATTGCCTCCCAAGGCTGGCCTTTTATGCCCGACACTCCCCACCCCCAGACAGCTCATATTTTTGTTTCATACGTGCATCTGTGTTTATACATTGTATATGTTCTCCCCTCCACCTCCTGAAAATGGCAACTCCTTGAAGGCAGGGATTCCAACATCTGCAACCATATTCCCAGTGCCCAAATCAGTGCCTGAAACAGAGTAGGCCCTCCTAAATGCCTAACTGTCTAGACTGAACCTCCCCAAGGATTCACTGGAACATGGGGGTAAAGAGGCCTGACTCAGCCTCAGGGAGTGGTGGCCCAGCCCAGGAGGATGAGGTACTGCCAAAACAGCCTATTACAATGAGCCAAAATGATCCCCTCCATGCCTGGGAGGTCGGGTCCAAAGACCTGAGTCTGGCATTCCAGGTCCCTCTGATCTGAGCCCGGTCTGCACCCACATCTGGGGTCACTGGGGGAAGGGCCAGGGCTGTCCCCCTTCCATCCCCCCAGACTGGGAGGCCCCTGAAGGCAGAGCCTAGGGCTGCTCCCCTCTTCTGGCTCCCCAGACTAACAGCCACCCAAGGGCAGGGTCTGGGACAGCTGCTCAGCAAAGACCGCCGGGTCCTCACTCCACTCCACCTGCTCTCTGAATACTCTCAGGGACGCCCTGCGACTCTCCCAGCTGGGGCCTGCAGCGGATGAATGAGCTCCAGACGCCCCCGGCCTGTGGCCAATCGGAGCCTTAATTACTTCCTGAGGATGCTGGGCCAGCAGCCCGGCTTCTGCTTGGCGGCTGAAATGCATTTCCCGGCTGGCCACTGCTCTTGCCTCTTCCCTCTCATTAGGTCGAGCTGTTAACGCTACCCGCCCGCCTGCCCCCCAGAGCTCCCCTCCCTCCCCTGCCCCTCATCTCTGAAGCCTTATCCGCCCTCCCAGGCTCCAGGCATGGGAGCTGCACGGAAGGCTCCTGCTGCCCTGACCTTTCTCCATTCCTCATCACAGTGAATCCCAGAGTACATCTCCTTCTAGAAGCCCCCCCGCCAGCCCATGCAGATTTCAGCCCACTCACACCAATGTGACAAACAGCACTCTCAGAGGGTAGGGCCTGGGTTCTTCTCTATGACTGGACACCTGCCAGAGATGGATATGCCTTTCTGCAGCCAGGCCAGGCCAGCAGCCCTGAGATCAAGATAATTTCAGAAACACAGGCACAAAGCCTGAGGTAAACTGAGTCAGACACAGAGAAAGTCAAAACCCCAGATAGGGGCAGAAAGCCAGAAAAAGCCAGAGATACGATACAGAGCAATTGGTGTCAAAGCCGGAAGGGGCCTCAGCAGGGTCCAGTCTAACCCAGACCCCAACAGGGCTGACCAGTGGCTGTCCAGCTGCTGCTGAAAGCCCTCCTCTAAGAAAGGGGGCTTGCCCTGCCCCTCCTGCAGCCCCTCTCACCCTGGAACAGCTGACTCTCTGCAGCTCTGCTCCCTGGTTCAGCCCCTGGGGCTGAGCAGACCCAGGCTAATTCCTTCTCCGTGGGACAGCCCCGAGGAAATCGAACCCAGCTCTTGCATGCCCCCAGTCTTCTTTTCTCTAGGCCTCCTCATCCTGCCCTCCCTCCTCTGGATTTTCTTCATGCAGACTCACATCATCCCATCAGCCCATTGTGGTGGTGGCACTGTTCTGCTGATTCAACCTGAGCATGCTGGCAGGCCACAAAGACCCCCAGATCTTTTTCAGTCTTTAGTCTAATCACACTTCCTCCACCTTGTACTTGGGAAGCTGATTTCTTGAACCTAAGCATTAGACTTTGCATCGACTCCTTCTGAACATCATCTTCTCAGACATGCCAGCGCTCCGGCCCATCACGATCCTGGCTCCATCACCCAGGGTGCTGTCTGCACCAGGCTCTAAGACACAGAGCAGTCAGAGGGGCAAAGCCAGATGGGCAGCTCCTGGCCTGGGATTCAGGGAGTTGGGGGGAGACTGGGGGCTTCCCCTGTTGATGCTACAGTCATGGCCAGCCTTGCTGGGAGCATTTTGGGGGAATTGTGCCCCGGTTCTTTGTGCTGTGGTTTATGAAAGAAATGGTTAAGTTGGAGAGTGTCCAGGGGACCTCTACCACCTGTGTGACCTTGGGGAGGTCCCTTCCAGCTTCAGATGCGGGGTCCAATGAGCCAGGATGGGAAAGGGCCTGGAGTCTCTGCAGGATCAGATGGGAGAGTTGTCGGGGACAAGCGGGCAGCGTCCAAAGCTCAGCGGGAGCCTCAGAGACGCCCAGCAGCGGAGCTGGCCCCAGCCCAGGGGCATCCCCTGTGCACGGTCCCTCCAGCCACCCCCAGCCCTCATCTTCTGCCCCAGGAGCTGCCTGTGCCTGGCCTCGGGGCTGCGGTCACTGACCTCCTGCAACCAGGCCCACATCAACAGGCAAAGGAATCTTGGAAACAAATCGATGACAGCACCTGCGTGTGCAGAGCCGGCAGTCCTGTGCTACACAGGCCATGGGGGAGAACAGAGGCGGGGCTTACTCACAGGCCCCTGCCTTCCCACAGAACGGGCACGGAAGACAGGCACAATGTGTCTGGTGAGGCCTCGGGAGGGAGAGCCGGGACCATCAGAAAAGGGGGAGAGACTTCCTGGAGGAGAAAGGGAATGAGCTTTCCAGTCAGGGGAGTCAATAGAAGCACAAAACCACACTGGGAGCGTGTGGGACCAGACGAGACCAGTTTGGCTGGAATCGGGAGTGTGTGAAGAGCAGGAGTGAGAAGTAAGCCTGGAAAAGGAGGGCAGCACCAGACGGTGGGGGAGGGGGCCTCTGAAGCACTACAAAGCCAGCGAAGGCCTCCGAGCTGAGAGTGATGGGCCCAGACACTGACACATCCGTGTGAACTTGAGGAAGGAAGATCTGCATGAGGGCGCTGGGCCCAATGGTGGGGAAGAGGGGGTGGGGGGTTGCTGTGGTGAAATCGAGGGGATGCAAGATCCTGAGGGAGGAGAAGCCCTGAAACATGGTGGGCAGACAGGAGGGGTTCTCAAGCAGTCAGAGGCCCCTGCCCTCACGGAGCTGACAAATCCTCCATCAGGTCATTGGAGGAGAGAGGCTAGCCCCCGGGCCCTGTGTGCCCCTCCGAGGCTCAGACTCAGCCAGGCCCGCCCTTCCGGTCCTTAAAGGCCCTTCTCCCATTCTCTGGGGTCTCAATGTGCGGAAGCCACGGACTTGTATTTTTAGGGCCCATGAGACCACAGAGTTCATCTGTGTACTTTGAATAAGTCATCCTCGCAGGGCAAGATCAAGACCCCTTCACCAAGCTGACTCCTCGCCATGGTTTGCTATCTCCCAGGACTCCTCCCACCTCATACTCAGGAGACTTAATTTGGAACCCACGTGTCATGCTTTACATTTATCCCTGTTGCACTGAATCTTATCAAGCTTGACTCCAAGGAAGCAGTCGATTGACAAGCATTTATTAAGTGCCTACTGTGTGCCAGGCACTGTACTAGGTGCTGGAGACACAGAAACAGTTCCTGCCTTCAAGGAGCTTATGTTCAAACAGGGGAGACAACATGGACATCACTGGGTACCTGCAAGCAATACCAGAGGAGATGGAAAGTCATGACAGCGGGGGGAGGAGAGAAGGGACGGGGAGCAGCCTCCTGCCAAAGGTGGGATCTGAGCGGTTCTAAAAGAAAACCAAAGCTTCCAGGGTCCACTAGAGGTAAGGAGAAGAGCATTCCAGGACGCGGAGCCAG